CCTTTGCTGCCGTTCCAACTTCCTTTGCCTTTCTTTTCTTTTTCTGACTACGCCTACAAAGCCATATCACTCTTCGACTTTCCTACAGCTTTTTCATCCATATTTTGTTCATGAGACTCAATCGTCCCTTGAAACACTTCCTTCATCAATGCTGACAAGTCTTTCGACTCTTCTATGGCTATTACAACATGGTCGAGCTTTGGAGCCAATGACCTCAAAATCTTTGCAATAATTGATCTTGATGTCAACACTTCTCAACATACCTTGATTTGATTCACCAGTTTACTAACCCTAGTGAAGAAATCAGTTATGCTTTCACTTTCTTCCATCTGAAGCAATTCATACGTCCTCTTGTGAGTTTGTAACCTCGCCTCTTTCACCTTCTCTGCACCTCCAAAAGATTTCTCCAGGATTTCTCATGCTTCTTTCGCTGATTCTACATCACTAAACTTTTCAAAGTTATCTGGATCAACACATTGATGGATTATAAAGTGAACTTTATAATCTTTCTTCTTCAATTCTTTGTATGCAACCTTTTCTTGATCCGTCGCGTTTTCTGCAAGCGATGCTATTGCTTCCTTCATAAGATCCCAAAGATCTTGATAACAGAAAACCATATTTATCTGCTTGCACCAATCCTTATAATTATTTTTCTTAAGAATTGAAAGGTTCACCGAAAAATACACGTTTGGATGATTCAACTTCGTCGTGATTTTCTTCCCTTTCGAATCACAACCGAAGTTCTAGATAACAGATGTTGGAATTAACCCAAAACCTTTTGATAATTCCTAATTAATATTGATAAACAAGATTCAATCAATCTGATCAAAACCATTGTTCTTCATTCTTCACTTGAGTGAAACAATCAATCTTGATTGCAAGAAAGATTACACGCAACAGTTTTAATGGAAGAAGAAAGAAAGAAGATTAAATAAGATGATTAGGGCAAGACGAAAATAAGAGAAGAGAATTTTCTGTAGAGCTTCTCTCCGCTTCCAAATTGGAAATTTCTTATTCACTTTGCAAATGCAAAAACTGTGAATTCAAGTTATTACAAAATAGGGGTTACTCCCTTTAATTTATAATAGAAGAAAGCTCAAAATTACAAAAATCCAAACATTATTATTTTGGTCTAAGTCAAAATCTTGTGTCAAGCTACCTGCTTTGACACTTCGGCATCTAAACAACTCGACACACACACACACACGTTAGACTAATTTCGAATAATCCTTGTTTCTGTCGAGCTACACTGCTTCGACACAAGGAATTACAAACTCAACATGTCCTTCATTTATAGATGTCCAACAAAGAAATTTGAGATGATAGAACAATGAGAAGGTTGACACTGCTTCAAAAATTTGGAAAAAACATGTGACCTGAGTATTAAAGGAGGCACTGATGAAGCGGCAATCATAGCAGAAATTTGGCGTCTTGAAGCGAGGGATCAAAATGCAAAGAATCGTAAGGATGGAAACAATTTGGGTTTACCATGGATGTGTTATCCTTTAACATTACGGAGGAATTGATCTAATAAGCATGTTATTTGGATTCTTATTAGCTATGGGAAAGTATATGTATATATGCTACAAGAAACAAATATTCAAATTATGAAGAATTCTCTAGTGCAAGCGTTTTGGGGACATAGTAAGGTCATGCAGAGTGCCAAAAATACACTTTGAAGGTTCGGAGGTACATTTCTTTTATGGAATCCAGTATCGGTTGATGCTTTGCTTATATTGAGGAGGAAGGTTTTGCTGAAATTCAAGTTGTTTGGAGAGGGATAATTATTAATTTCGTGAATCTTTATTCATCATGTGCAATCTAGAGTAAAATACATTAGTGGGTAGAGCTTATCAAGTTAAAATCATCCTTTCCTTTAGTTTATTGGTGTGTTAGAGGAGATTTTAACACAATTAAGATAAGTATAGAGAGAAAAGGAAAAGCCTTGGTCCAGATGTATTTTCCATGGAATTCTTCAAATCTAGTTGGAAATTATTAAACTCGATGTTTTTTACTGTACTAGTGAATTTTTTGTGTAGGCACGTCTTCCTAAGGCTTTATCAGTAACATTCATTTCTCTCACTCTTAAATTTCAGATTCCTCAAAGCTTTATGACTACCACCCAATTTTTCTAATTAGCAACATTTATATGATTATTTTAAAATTGTTGGCGGGGAGATTAAAAGGAGTGATGGATAAACTTGTTTCGGTTACTCAATCTTCGTTTGTTCTTAATAGAAGATTGCATGATGGTGTCTTAGTGCTTAATGAAGTGGCCGATTATGCAAGGAGGAACAAGAAAGGCTTATTTCTTTTTAAAGTAATTTTTGAAATGGCTTATTTCTTGGGACTACTTGTTATACATTCTAAAAGGACGAAATTAGGAAGCAAATGGTTAAAATGGATTAAGGCAGGTGTTTTATTTATTTTTCTTTCTTGGTTTTGGTTAATTGTATCTATATGATTGATTTTCAAGTTAGAAGGGGTTTTCGTCAAAGGGATCCTCTCTCCCTTTTTTTCTTTATCTTGGTAGCAGAAGGAATTGCAGGTTTATTGTGGAATGTGTGTTTAGGTCATTATTACCACCCTTTTTCTTTGAAAGATAATCTTCATATTGATCTTCTTCAATTTGCTGACGACACAATGATCGCGGTACAACCATCATGGGAGAATATTGTGACTCTAAAAGAGTTGCTTCGTGATTATGAGCATTATTCAGGTTTATCCATAAACTTTAATAAAAGTAGTATTCTTGATTTCAATGTTGAGTTGGAAAGGGAAAATCTTAGACGACATTTTTCTTACTTTTTGGTTCAAGCTAAGATTAAGAATAGATTGCCCTTTTGGAAAGGAAAATTTTCATCTCTAGGTGGTATAGTGATTTTGCTTAATTCAATATTGAATTCAATCCCTCTCTTCTCGTTCTCCTTTTATAAAGCATCAAAAATAGTTATTCAAGACTTTATCATGATTCAACATGCGTTCTTGTGGAATGGCCATGAAAATCATAAAAGGATCAATTAGGTGGCGTGGTCTACTATTTGTATGTCAAAAACGGACGGTGGGCTTTGTGTTAAGCATTGTAATTTGTTCAATACGACCTTAATGAGTAAATGGGGATGGAGGATAATGTTAGAGGAAGAATCATTATGGCATAAGGTTATTTCATTCAAATATGGTGATATAAAGAATGTAATATAAGATAATTCTTTGTCTGTTAGAAATTCATAATATTTCTTATGGTGGAAGGATTTAAGGCTTATGTTGGGTTCTTAGGGTGCTGAAATTAATTGGGCTCGTATGAGTCTCTCGTGCAAGGTTGGGAACAATTTCAATATTGATTCTAGAGGGATTGCTGAATTGGTAAAGACCCTTTATGCAGTCAATTTCTAGTGTTGTTTCAAGCCCTTCAAGAATCAAGACTAAGGATTAAAGAAGTCGGTTGATGGTTCCAGGATCATTGGAGTTAGAGGATATGTGTGAATCCCGAGATCTTATCGGGCTCTGCTGCACCAGAATATGACAATATCAATGTCATTTTGCAGCATATTGTTCTAGACCCTTCGTAGTTGGATCAGTCTATGTGGAGGAGTCCCTCAACTGGGTTTACCGTTAAATCTGTCTATGATAGGTTGTACTCATGTGTTGATTAAAATTTACAATTGAGTAATGGGTTGAAGTCATCCTTAAAGTGTTTGGAATTCAAATAATTCTTCAAATGTTCAAGTGTCAGTGTGGAGGTTTTTTTTTCAAAGGCTTCAAACGAGGGATGAGCTTGCTAAGAAGGGAGTCATATTAGGTGTTCATAATCTTGTATGTCTGTTATGCCTTGGTCCTGAGGAGTCTCATCATCATCTTTTTATTGAGGGTTTAGTTTTTGTTGAGGTGTGGTCCATGATTTTAGATTGGGTAGGGGTGAGTAATTTTAACTTATCTCTTGATATTCTTGATCATTTGTTATTATTTGTCTCTGTAATGTGGGGGAGGGCAAAGAGAAATTGTAGGATTCTCATTTGGTTATCTGTTGTGAGGGCTATTTGGTTAGTCAGAAATGATACTTTGTTTGATGGAGCGGTGAAGAGGAGCCATAAGATTGTTCTTATGACAAAATCCTTAACTTGGGATTGACTTAACGTCATATCATTGGATCAACTAAGTGATTCTAAAATTATCTGAATGTCTAATCCTGTAGAGGCTATGAAGTAGTTTCGATTAGTTTTCCCTTTTGTATTCGAGTTGTATACCTTTTGTGCTCGCTTTAATACAATCTCGTTATTTATAAAAAAAAATATTGAAAAAAAAAAAGTAGAAAACCAATTCATGTTAAAAAATGTATACATGCTACACTATTTTTATCTGATTAAAAATTCACATACATTTATTTTTTTTCTACTTTTTCAATTAAAAATATTATTTTCCAAAAATTAATCAAAATCATTATTTCGATTCAAAAACTAAAAATATATATTATTTTATTTTAATTTTCACCATCAATATCCGATCCACTAGACCGTTTAATCTGGTTCGAGGGTCAATTATGTCATCAAGTGGTTTCAGCCTTCTTCTGATCGCAGTTGCAGGAGATCATGTAGTCTTCATTAAATTCAGCGCCAATCACCACTAAACCACCTAACGATTGGTAAAAATATATTTTAACAAAATAATTTTTGAATAAAACTTACTCGTAGACATAATTAAAATATTAAAAATAAATTTCTTAAAAAATATTACACATTTTAAAAATTGTGAGAATCTAATCCCCTCTCCCTCTTTCTCCATTTATGAAGAAAAGCCATATGACATATGACAAGATCCACTATTAAGGGACAATATTGGCCTACCACGCCAATTTCATTTTTTTTAATTATTACAACTCAATATATTTCTCACATAAGAAATTTCAATATAATAATAAACAAAAAATGGTTAATTTTGGGTAGTTTCATAAATAAAGAAAATAGATCCCAACAACCAAAATTAGATTTTTTTTTGGAGGAAGGATGGGTTTAGTCACATGGTTCCAACACAAATTCACAGATCCTGTTCTCTTGGTTCTTCGAGGGTACTATGTTTATGAACTTTACTATGTTCTGGTTTTGTCTTTTTTCATGTTTTGGTTTGTTTCTATAGTGAAACCTTTTGTAAAGTTGTTCAATTAATATATTTTATGGAAGGTTTGGTTTATTAATGTCTGTATGTTTTTTTTCAGTGGTGCTGAGCCAAAGCAGTTGTCTTTCTCTGCTGCTCTTGGGATTACACTTGGAGTGTTTCCTATTTGTGGTAAGTTGGTAATTTAATTGTGATTTTAGTTTCAAATATCATCTATCATAGTATCTCTTTGGATACCTTAATTGGGTGTACTTTTGTGCTTGAAAAGTTAGTTAGAAAAGTTAGTTTTTTTAATGGTAGTGAATTTGTTTTGAGGATGTACAAGGTGGATTATTGCACGGTCCAAGATTTTTACAGTTGAATCGTAGTTAAATAGAGCCTAATTGTTTTGTTATGGTCAACTGTGCCTAACGTACACAGTGTAGTCAAGATTGAATGTTGGATCGTAAGATCTTAACTAAGGATACCTCAGAGTGCTACGATTAGATAGAGATCGTCGTCACTGGCATGGTCAAAATGGAGCTTTTTGAAGGAAGATTGTAAAGAAATTACCTTTTCCCCTTTGGTGTAGAATCTTAGGTGCCGTGTTAACGATCTGAATTTTACGATCTTTCACATGCTGACTGATCTCGTGCTTGACTACATTGACCTATGCAGTGCCTCCAAAAAGTTAAGACGAATCAGGTTATAGGCAAGGAAAAAGGTCAAGATGTTGTCTCTTTTATGAGTGTTCTATTGAACCTATGAAGTGTATTTGTAGGAAGTAGTCCTTGATAATGCTTTGTCAGGATAGTTCTGCAGCGATACATTTTGAAGGATTCTTTTGAAACAGGTGTCACTGTGCTCCTCTGCGGCGTTGCTATAACGTTACTTGGATCGTTTGTTAACGCTCCCATTCTGTTGCTTGCAAACTGCTTTGCTACTCCCATTGAGTTGAGGTAACTTGATTTAACAAATTGCTATTGTTTTGCGGCATAGTACTTTAGCATCGTAGAATTTGAACAAACCTCTATTTTCTGCGATCCACAATTGAAAACATTGTTCTATGGTTGTTTTTTCATTGAAAACTTTAACCGTATTGATGTTGAAGTCCTGATTGAAAGATTTATTTGACGTATATTTCAGTTTGATTATACCGTTTCTGCGTCTCGGTGAATTTATCACCCGTTCGCCTCATTTCACTTTATCATCTGATGTTTTAAAGAAAGTTCTTACCGGTCAAGCTTCAAAGCAAGTCCTACTAAGCATTGCCAATGCGGTAAGTAGCCGATGCCATAAAAGTAATTTACGCGATGTGATTGTGATTGTGATTGATGTTCTAAGTTTACCTTATGTGTGATGTGATTACATTCGCGTTTGAAATAATTTGCTCAACGATATTTTTTGCAGTTATTAGGGTGGCTAGTTGCATCGCCTTTAATTTTGGCAAGTCTTTACATATCATTCTTACCGTGCTTCAAATTTCTAATTCGGAAACTCAGCAGTCCTCCTTCGAGTCCAAGGATGCCGCTCCAACCATTGTCAGATATCGGGTCTAAGGCAAGGGATGTTTGACAGATAATCTCTCAATCTGCATTCATCGGGATTGACCGGTCGTTCACATGTTGTATTGTTGAATTTTTTCGTAGTGAAACAATATATATACGTATTCAAAAAACTACACTGACAGTGTAAAATAGTTGTACAGACATACTCAATATGAATTAGTCACTTCTCTTAAGTGGTTGATTTGTTTGTAAATGTACACACATTCCTGTCTCATGACTAAGGATCCTTGAGGCTACACAATTCAATTAAATTTATGTTTTGCTCTTATTTCTTGCAAAAATCGTCGTAATCTAGTTTCTTGCATCAGAAGGTTTGAGGGTTAAAACAGAAGCTATTTTTAGGGAGAGGAGTCAACTTTCAAAAATTCACTTTATTTTCAATTGATCAACATCACAAGTTCACAACGATTTTAAATTACATGTTTGTAACTGATAAATAACTCTCATACAAGAACAATGTTACAATGTAAATGTAAAGAATCATAAGGAAAAACAAGTGCATGATCTTGTTGCCAATCTGCACAGGAATATATCAAAGATTTCGCCGTGATGATATTGTTAACAGTTTGATCGAATCCTCCAAAAATTACTAAATTTCTTTCAAATCCAAGTTCTTGCACCGAGGATGAACGAGAAACGATGTAGTATAGTGAAAGAATCTTTCATATCTTCATGTTCCTATCGATTGTTTCGCACATTTGGCTCTTCAACATTGATATGCGGGTTAGCACTGATTCCAGCTTCTCCAGAAACATTTTGGATGACAGTGGTTTCTAGATGACTAGTAGATACCGAGTCAGAGAATTCAATGGCTAGTGTTTCTTCAATTCTCGGCTGCATCTCTATTTCTTCATTGCTTGCAGCCTCCATCAGAGAGTTTCATTTGTCAGTATATATCTGCCATGAATGATCAATAATCTAAACACTAGTATATACGTAGACGCATTGATACAAAATTGTGGAAATTACTATTATCTACCTGCATATTGGATATTTCGGTCGAAGATTTAGCCGTAGGTAGTAGCGACAGACGGCAAAGAGGGCACGTGCTGTGGCTGGTAAGCCAGAGATCAATGCAACTCATGTGAAACGTATGGCCGCATACCGGTATCTGTTGAAGTCTGTCGTCTGGTTGGTAATCCAAAAGACATACTGAGCATCTGATGAAAAAGATGTATTGTTAGAATTTGTGTTTCTGGTAGTTCAATTTGAGGGTGGAGTAAGAACAATCACACAAGTGGAATCATAAAAAGAGAAATAGTAATAAAAGTGAACTAAACTCACAGTGTATCTTTGACAGAGAAGCTTTCATTGTAAACTATAATAGGCAACATCTCTCTCAATTCTTTCTTCAACCCCAAATCAGACTGCAAGAAGTTAAAAATATCGGTTTGAAACTCGTTCGCACTCTATCGGACTAATACTTCTGATCGAAAGCGTGTAAGTTACACATGTGTAGTGTCTGACACCAACGCGTTACATTTGGTTTTTATTTTGGAAGAGAAAAAAAATCAATTCTAAAAAGCATAATCAATTCTACTCGAGAATAATCAAACAATAATCGAACATGTCAACAACAATTTACAAAAAAGTACAAACATGAAACCATACCAGAACTGACCCCAAAATCAGATTATTCAGTCCAGTGAACCGGATACCATCAATCAATTTTTAACAAAGCAGAAGATAATCACTTATATTTTAAGCTAAAAAATCCAAGTCAACAAACATATCAAAAAATGTAGATTAGTATAAGGAGAACTTACATTGGAGATTGCATTGTTGTGATTGTGATGTTGTAGAACAGAAACAGACCTCATCCTGATAGAAGACCAATCAACCCTTCTAGGTTTCAAATAGAAAACATAGAAAAGAAAAACAAGAATCAAAGTGAAGAAAATAGGTACAGAGAATATAAAAGCTCTGTACAGTTTCAACTCAGCAGCTGCTGAAGCATCAGATCTGCTGGAACAACAACCTGAATCGTTATTATCAATGTCTGAATCAGAAGAAGAAGCTTGAGATTTATTGTTACTAGATTCCATGTAAAATCAAGTAATTCTGTTCGATTTTTTGTATTCATAAACAAGTTGAATGTTGAAATTACTCTACCGACAAGACAACAAATAAAGTAAGAACAAATGTTCAATTTCTTCTTGAAATTATTGTGTGGATAGTGACAAATGACAATTGTTAAAAAAATTGCATTGAAATAATTTTTTTATCATATATTTAATTATTGATTAAAAGTATAACTTTTGTTTTTAAACATTTTACACTAATTAGTTTTACTCAAAATTTTTTATATTGGATAAATAAAAGTTCATTTTTTTATTAGATAGAGGGAACATTATACTTTGTTTGAGAATTTATAGGAAATGAGGGACGGAAGAGTTTTTCTTAGTTAAGTAGTTTAAAGGTTGAAGTCTATTTCATTAAAGTTGAATAAGCGGAATGTTGCTGGTTTAAATTCGCGTCTATGCACTCGAGATTTTTATACAGTTATTAATTAAGTTGTTTTAACGGGACAATAAAAGAATAATTAAAAATATAAATGATGGACCAAAAAGAATATAATTGAGTTATTTAAGAGAATATTAGACTTTGCCGAAAGTTTTGAGAGATTATTTATTTTTATTTACAAATCAAAATTCTCCTAATTTAAAGAAAATAAAAAAATATACTGCTTCAAAAAATATAATGAGCTATTAACATTCAAAGAGCAATTACTCTATAAAACTAAAAACACAAGTCTAACTTAGAGTTTCTTACCACTTATATATTCTATAAATTTTTAAGTCTTAAAGATTTTTTATGTGTTGTATTTTGTCTACACCTCTGATTGTATATCAAGCATAATTTTTTCAAAATCTCTTAACTGTAAGTTAGAGTTTAAGAAGTCTCTTGTCTCTGTGCTTGAGCATTGGAAGTCTCTTGCTTGTGTGCTTGAGCATAAAAGTCTCTTACTTGTGTGTTTGAGTATTGGAAGTCTCTTGCTTTGTACTTCAAAAGTTGTAATCAGTTTGGTTATAGTGAAATATCTTGTAAGTATAAGGGGACTTGACTGCTCTTAATTTGTGGGAGGAACCATGATAACTGCTTGTGTCTCTCGTTCTTTACATTTTGCCTCTAAACCATTCTTATCTACTGCTAATCACTTAACTATGATTCAAATTTTAAACCTTGTGTTCATAATCTGATAAAAAAATTTAAGAAAAGAAAGAATTAGCTAACACAATTCAAACTCTTTCTTGTGTTTTTCTCACCTTCAATTGGTATTAGAGTCTGGTTTGTGCATTTAACACTTAAAAAATGGTATAAAAAAGATCCTACGAGAAAAAAATGTCTGATGAAACTAGAACCTCTTGACCTAGAAACACGGCTGCTGTAAATTATGATTATAGTTCTTCTAAAAAGAATAAGTATACAACTAGACCTCCAACTTTCAGTAGAGATTCTACAAAGTTTGAATGGTGGAAGAGCAAGATGTGTACTCGTATAATAGGTCTTGATAATGAAGTGTGGGATATTCTTGAAGATGACATTGATATTTCAGTTAATAGAGTATGAATGGTAACTGACAGAAAAATTCTCACACCTGCTCAGAAGAAGAATTATAGAAAACATCACAGAGTTAAAGGCATTTTGGTAGATGTTCTACCTCACTCTAAGTACATTAAAATTATTGACAAATCTACTGCTAAAATCATATTTGAATCTAAGGCTTGAAGGTGTGAGAAAACACAAGAAAAAGGGGTTTGAATTGGGTTTTCAAAAATGAAAGTTTTTTGTGAAACTCAAAAAAAGATCACAAATAAACTAACAAGAGAGAAAGACACACGATATATTCTGATTCACTTGAAAACTATCAAGTTAATCCAATCCATCCGCCAAGGTGATTTTGCCTTTATACACAAGAACTTAATCCACTATAATCAATTGATTACACTGCACTAGCAACCGCTGGTGACTAACAACACATACAACTGTATCTTCTTATGGATTTTGACCCAACTGCTCCCTTAAGAAAATACAATCTGCACTAGCAACCGCTGGTGACTAACAACAAAGACAACCGTCTCTTGTTAAGGATTCTGATCCAACTGGTCCATTAAGGAAATACAATCTGCACTAGCAACCGATGTTGACTAACAACAAAGACAACCGTCTCTTCTTAAGGATTCTGACCTAATTGGTCCCACATGGAGTTACAAACAACAGTTTGAACAAAAAATGTTTACAATGAATTGCTTCTACACAAGCAAATATACATAATATTAAAAGCTCTAATAACTTCAAAAAAAAACTTTCACAATATGAACAATGTTATTTCTTTGTATTGTGGTGCTTCAATAATGTAGCTTCAGTTCTTTATAGATCATTCTGTTGGCTGAAAATTAGCCAACTCGGGGCATTGACCTTGACAGAAATTAGGGGAAGGAAGAATAAAGGTCGACCATCCCCTTGCATAAAAGCCAAGGGTCGACAGCAATAATACTTGGCAAGCATCACACTTGGAATCGACAACATGAGATGGCTAGGTTGACGGGCCCCTGCGTCGATCGGCCTAAAGAGGAAAACCAGCAAAGGTGTTCTCGACGAAAGGAGCTAAGGCTTGGAGGGAAATTGTTTTGAAAAGAGGAACGTGGAGGCGGTTTTCCAGAGACGTGGGATGACACGTAGCGCATCCTGAAGCCCCTTGGCAGTTACTTCGTACGCCTATATAAAGCAAGATTTTCTAGGAAATAAAAGGGGGCGTCTTTTGTCAGTATTGGAAGAAAAACACTCTGAGTACTGCACTAGAGAGAAAAGAGTTTACTTTGTCATTCCAAAATGTACGGATACATCCATTTTTCTTTTTCCTTTTTTACGTTAAGTTTACCAAGTATTTATGACATTTAAAGCACTATTTTCATAATCTCTTTAACGTTTCTGCTTTAGCCATCTCTTTATCTTTGTCAATCTTTATTTACTTAGAGTTTAAACCACTTACACACATCACAAGAT